TGTGAGATACCCCTATAGAGGGATGAACTAACCTTGGGTTTTGTCGATGATGACTTCATGTAGGTGTTGAAGATGTGGACGCTCAATGTTGATGTAGATCATTTGGAGCAATCCTTTGGAGTGAGTTGCACTTTCAATACCTACATGGGTTAGTCCCACAAGGAACAAACAAGGATATCAATAGACATAGAGTGATGCTCACATAAGATGATGTCTATGAAAGCATTAGGTTACCTTGTCCCTTGTCTTACCAACAAGAGGGTTTGTGACTCCTTGAACTAGTGCAAGATGTGAAAGTTGATTGCACTTGTCCTTGCCAAAATGATATGAGTGAAGAATGTTGGCGGAGTCACCCTCAAGAACTCTCTAGTTCTTCTTCTTCGGGATCCACACCATGTTGATGGGAATCCTTAGAGTTGTAATCGTACTTGATGAAGTAGAGCTTGACGTAGTCTTGGGAATCCACTTGACCAAGGCCTTGGGAGCTTCTTCAAATGCATCAATCTCCTCTTGAAGCTCATCCTTGCCTTTTTGCTTGTGATCTTGTGGTGGAAGATCATCTTGAGCTTGTGTCCCTTTGAAGGAAGTAGGATCATACTTCTCTTGTTGAGGAACAAACCTCGTCTTGGGGTATTGATCTTCTTCCCACTCAACTCCATTGGCATTGAACTTTCATTCAAAACCAACACCTTGGTTCTTCCGGTGCCTTCCTTGCTTGCATACAATTTCCTCGAATTGCTTACTCCCGGCAAGGCTATTGTAAACACCTTTCTCTATGATTCCCTTCAATAAGCTATTTTCTTGCTCAAGTGTAACTTGGCTAAGAGAATCATTAGTGGAATCAAGAGAACTACTAGAAGCAACAATATTGGATTTAGCATGATTAATTGACATTTCATCATAGTATTCATCACTAGAGTTGTCAATAAGTAAATCATCATCACCTAGCAAGTCATCTTCATCACTATTGAAATCAACATACTCGGGATGTGTTACCTTTGGGCCTTTAGCCATGAAGCATCTTCCAAGTCCTTCATTTGGTGAATCAAATATGTCGTAGGAGTTGGTTAACACAAGTGCTAGACTGGCAACACCTTCATCTTGAGTATGTTCGGAGTCGGAGTGATAGCTTCTCTCGGAGTGATGTTCAGAGTCGGAACCGGATACCCATTCACCAACATGAGCTTGATGTCTTCGTTTTGTGTAGCTCCTTGATGATTTTCCTTCCTTTCTGAATCCTTGCTTCTCCGGGATGTTCTTCGTTCATAACGATCATCTCTACTCATCTCTCTTGGCGGTGATTCTTCTCTTCTACTTCTCCTCTTAGGTGAATCTTCTCTTCTTTTGTATGGAGCCGTACACTCATTGGAGTAGTGTCCGGGTCTTCCACAGTTGTAGCAATTTTGCTCTCGACTGGAAGTCTTTTGTCATTGTAGGACCTTGACTTGGAACTTCTTTCCTTGCTTCTACTCTTGTAGAATTTGTTGAAGTTCTTCACCATTAGAATCAATTCTTCATTGAAGGTTTGTTTCCCACTTGATGATGCGGGAGCTTCACATGAGGCTTTGTAAGCACCACTTGACTTGTTGTGCAGCTCCTCCTTATCCTTGAGTGACATCTCAAGGGCAAAAATTCTTCCGATGACCTCCGTTGGCTTGAGATTCTTGTAGTTGGGCATCATTTGGATCAATGTGCACACGGTATCATATTTTCCATCCAAGGCTCTTAGGATCTTCGTGATGATGAATTTGTCGGTCATCTATTCACTTCCTAAGCCGGCAATCTCATTGTGATGAGAGCAAGCTTAGAGTACATTTCAGCGACGCCTTCACCATCCTTCATCTTGAACTTGTCAAGTTGACTTTGAAGCACATCCAATTTGGATTCCTTGACGGAGTCGGTACCTTCGTGCATATCAATCAAAGTGTCCCAAACTTCCTTTGCATTCTCAAGGCGACTGATTTTGTTGAATTCTTCGGGGCACAATCCGTTGAAGAGGATATCACAAGCTTGAGCGTTATATTGCAGCATCAACTCTTCCGCGCTAGCTTCACGGTTTGGTTCTCTCTCATCAAAGAATTCACCTTGCAAGCCAATACACAAAATAGCCCAAACGGCGGGGTTATGTCCGAGAATATGCATTTTCATCTTATGCTTCCAACTAGCAAAATTAGTACCATCAAAGTAAGGACCTCTACGGTGGTAGTTTCCCTCGCTAGACGCCATACTCTCCTAGGTTGTGAAACCAAGGCTATGACCACCAAAAGCTATGGAAATCAAAGCAAATGGAGAACAAAGCTCTCATACCATTGATAGGATCTTGAAGTATGTCTAGAGGGGGGGGATTAGACTACTTGACCAAATAAAAGCTATGCCTTTTCCCAATTTTAGTCTTTGGCAGATTTTAGCAAACTTAGCACAAGTCAAGAAATCTTAACACAATTCAAGCAAGCATGCAAAGAGTATATGAGCAACGGAAAATAAAGCATGCAACTTGCAAGAATGTAAAGGGAAGGGTTTGGAGATTTCAAACGCAATTTGGAGACACGGTGATTTTTGAGCCGTGGTTCCGATAGGTGGTGCTATCATACATCCACGTTGATGGAGACTTCAACCCACGAAGGGTAACGGCTGCCCGAGTCCACGGAGGGCTCCACGCAAGAAGGGTCCACAAAGAAGCAACCTTGTCTATCCCACCATGGTCGTCGCCCACGAAGGACTTGCCTCACTAGCGGTAGATCTTCACGAAGTAGGCGATCTCCTTGCCCTTACAAACTCCTTAGTTCAACTCCACAATCTTGTCGGAGGCTCCCAAGTGACACCTAGCCAATCTAGGAGACACCACTCTCCAAGAAGTAACAAATGGTGTGTTGATGATGAACTCTTTGCTCTTGTGCTTCAAATGATAGTCTCCTCAACACTCAACTCTCTCTCACAGGATTTGGATTTGGTGGAAAGAAGATTTGAGTGGAAAGCAACTTGGGGAAGGCTAGAGATCAAGATTCATATGGTAGGAATTGAATATCTTGGTCTCAACACATGAGTAGGTGGTTCTCTCTCAGAAATGGTAAGTTGGAAGTGTAGGCTTGTTCTGATGGCTCTCTCCACGAATGAAGAGGAGGTGGAGGGGTATATATAGCCTCCACACAAAATCTAACCGTTACACACAATTTACCAATCTCGGTGGGACCGAATCAACAAATTCGGTCTGACCGATTCAGTAAACCTAGTGACCGTTAGGGTTTTCGGTGGGACCGACATGCAACTCAGTAGGACCGATATGGTTAGGGTTAGGGCATAACGTAATCTCGGTGAGACCGATTACACAAACTCAGTGAGACCGATTTTGGTAATAAGCTAACCAGAGAGTTGGTCAGGTAAACTCGATGGGACCGTTTCGCTCTTTTCGGTGAGACCGAAATGTTACAAAAGGGAAACATAGAGTTTACATTGCAATCTCGGTGGGACCGATCGCTCATTTCGGTGAGACCAAAATGTTACGAAGGGAAACAGAGAGATTACAATCCCATCTCGGTGAGACCGAGATCCCTATCGGTGAGACCGATTTGCCTAGGGTTTGTGGCAGTGGCTATGCCATCTGAACTTGGTGGCGCCGGATAGAAAGAATCGGTGGGTCCGAGTTGGACTTTAGGTTTAGGTCATATGTGGATGTGGGAAAGTAGTTGAGGGTTTTGGAGCATATCACTAAGCACTATGAAGCAAGAAACTCATTAAGCAACACCTCATCCCTCCTTGATAGTATTGGCTTTTCCTATAGACTCAATGTGATCTTGGATCACTAAAATATAAAATGTAGAGTCTTGAGCTTGAAGCTTGAGCCAATCCTTTTATCCTTAGCATTTTGAGGGGTCCATTTTTCTCATCCATGTCATGCCATTCATTGAGCTTTCCTGAAATATTTGTCTTGAAATAGTATTAGCTCAATGAGCTATATGTTGTCAGGAATTACCAAAACCACCTAGGGATAGTTGCACTTTCACCCATGAGTCCGTTACTACCGGCCTGCCTGTGCGCAGCCACGGGCCTTTGGCCTTGTACCCCTCTCCCACTTACCCCTTCGTGGCTTAGACTATAAATAGACCACCTCCACCTCCTTCCTAGGGTTAGCACAGATTTAGCTCATTTTAAGATAGAGCTTTGCTCATCTGTACGGATCTACTCCTCGTGAGAGACCACAACCTCTTCGGAGAAGATCCATCTTGGATTCAAGACCCCCTCGTGGGAAGATCCGTCTAGGATACCATCAAGACCTCCTCTTGGAGATGAACTCTACCTTGTATCTTTCTCTTTGTTGTTCATGTACCTTGTGGATCTTGTGTGTTTGATTGTCTAGTGGATGTGATATTGGACTTGTTGTTGAGTGTTTCCCCTTGTGATTTCTCTCCCTTCTTCTCCGTGTTCTTCGAGGGATCCCACTTCAATCGTAAAAGATCGGGCCGCTAGGGTTCTACCCTACATTAGATGTGCTCTAAGTGGGTACTCAAGCATCCTTTAAAAGAGAAATGTCGCCTCAGCATTTTGCCCCTATCTATTACAGTAAGAGCCAAGCATTGAGCCCTTGGACTCTAAGCCATCGATAGCGCCTACCTATCTCAATAACCAGTTGTCTTCATCTTTTAGAAACAAATATCGACAGAGCTGCAGCTGTCATATTATGAAATGCATCTATAAATCAATAAAAAAGGAACGGCACAAATGGACAAGGTTTGAAACTTACACCCTCCTATACTGATACAACACATCACCATGTACTGAGAGACTATAACAAAGACACTATTTACAACCGGATCAACCGCTATACCTACATAATATTTACAGCAAAATCTCCTCCCACTCCTGAGCACAAGTGACAGAACAGGATACTATAACAAGACTGGATGAACTAATCTTATGTGACCTACACTAGGCAGACATACCATTCAGATGGTACCTAACCCAAAGCTAAAGAAGAAAAGATCTTGCGACAATCAAAAACTCTACTAGCGCAGCATCTGCAGAAGCGAAGAGCGGTTTTTAGGGTTCAGCCAGCCCATGGGACCTCCTCGTGCCGCTGGCTGATGAATATCGGCTTCTCGTCTTTGTAGTGCTCTCAGAAACTCCTCTGAGCTCAGGTGCCCATCATTGTTCATGTCAAACACATGGAAAATGATGTCGACCACTCTGTCGGTTAATTCAACACCACAGACCTATAGAACCAGAAAAGGCATGAAATCAGTAAAAAAAAAGTTATAGTACTAGGTACATGATTGAACAGCCACAAGGACAGCTAGAAGTTTATTAGTAATTATCTAAACGCAACAAGCTTGGTACAAAATCTTACATGCTGAGCTGCACGCTTCAGATCCTGCTTTGTCAGCAGCCCATTTACTTGACCATAAGCAAATATAGCCATCGTCAATGATTCCAATCTTCGACGTAAATCAGCAAATGCCTTGAACTCCTAAAGTCCCAGAAAATACATCTATAAGAACCACATGAGAAAATAATTACACAGAAAAGACCAACATGACCACAAGTCAAACCTCAAAGGTAATGCGCAAGTTCTTGAGATAAGGGTCATTGCCCAACGTATCAGCTCTATCAAGTAGCTTGCTAATGTGATTCATGTCAGCAGAAGCAACCATGGACAGTGCAAAATCCTTTGCAGGGATGGTGTTTGTCGACTTGACATCATAATGACTGAATTCCAGACGAATAATCTGCAGAGAAATGAATCAAGGGGACTGAGAAAAAATAGAGGGAGTTTGGGAGATATACAAATGGAAAAACGCTGGATGATTGCAATATCGTAAATGTAAATTTAGATAAGCAATGCACACTTTCAATATAAAATACTGTGTTAAAAAATATTTATAGGTACAAAAAATGGCATCAAGAAAATATGACATTCAGATTTAAACATCAGATGAAACATTCATTTTCCGTTACAAAATAAAAAAGTGTGCATCCTTTCATTATGCAAATATAAAACATTATGTACCAGCAGCCAGTTTGCAAATATGGTTATAGACTGACTAGAAGATAATAAGTTCAGGGGAGATGATGAGAGAATGTGAGATTGTGTTTTGCATTCATGCGCAAGGATATGTCTGTAGTGACAACGGGAGAACCTTCATTTATAATGTATAAATGCTTTTTTCTTTTAGATTAAATTACACCACATGCTTTCTGACAAGTCACTGGATATTGCATGCATTAATGAGAAGCCGTGTTGAGTGAAGTCCACAAAAGGAACATGGAAGAAGCAAATTACCTCTTCATGCAATTCCTTCAAAAAACTTGTGAACTTATCAAAGTGTAAAGGTTCATTCCCATCATTACCAAAGAAATACTCAACCACCCCACCATTTTCCACAGACTGGCCAACTTTAAATCCTGTACGTAAGCCATGCCTATGGGCAGCTCCTTGTCTGTTATAGGACCGCATCAATGCCATTACTTTCTTGAACTCTTCTTTGTCTATCTCCCTGGAAATGATGAGAATCGACAGATAAGAACAACAAAACAACCGAGAAGAAGATTGCCAAAATTTGTTCATTACCCTTGTTTTACCATCAACTAACAAGCCAGATGATTGAACATGCTCATAAAGAGCAGGTCTTTTTTTCTGGGCGACAAGAGAAATTAACTGCACGCGAATGATCACAGGTAAACAACAATATAGCACAAACAAGATATTATTCAAATGTATCTTGTTTATGCATAAATCGATCAAAGAGAACAAAAGGGATAACATACCTTTAGCAGCTTCAGTAAACAAAACACGTCTACACGATAAATAAAGAAAATTGGATTGAAGCCACTAAACTTGATACATAACATGGCCTATTAATTAATTTCTTCTCCTACCAAAAATTCAGTGTTTTACTATTATTTGTTTTACATGCAAACAGAACTGTAACAGGTTTGCTAATCAACAAACAGCTACATGGATAATACATATAATTCTACAGCAGGACCGTGTTCATAAGACAAAGTAGTGTGGTAGCAATAGAACTCACCCACTGAGATCAACGTCGAACATTTTGAAGGCCGCACTGAAGCTTGACTCAGGAATGCTGAGTAATGTAACAAAGAAGATGTACCTGCCAAAGCCACCAAAAAGCATAAATCATCATCATCGAGCAAGCTGAGTAAGATCATATAATATGGTGTTTGTGCCAAACGGGGACAAATCACAATTCACTTACTCGGCAAACGAGATGAGACCATCGGTGTTCGTGTCGAATAGAACGAAGAATTTGGATGGAGCACAGTGCAACTCTCCGGGGCTGGGTTCCCCCCTTAGCCTCCCTTCCCGCACGACGTTCGACTCCGATGGAGGGAAAACAGGGACCACCGCTCTCATCAAGTCGGCAGGCAACATGAACATTTCCCCATCCGGTTTTCGCACAGACGCGAAATACTCAAAAATCTACGCAGAATAGCACCAAAAGTTAGAAAACGTAGGACACACCAGGATCAAATTACACGCAACCACCTACAATGCAGACAATCATGCTTCACCTTTTCAGGAGGGCTGCGAAGCCGTATCCTTTTCTCGTAGTTGAAGAACACCCTTCGGCGGTATGAGTCTGCAGTGAGAGCAGAGAAAAGGGGTTTTGATCAGATCATCCTCATAGGTTAAAATTCAAAAACTTCGTGTATAATAGCGATAAATGCACGTAGTTATAGCCAGTTCATGCTACGGTCTGTCTGATCTGAAAACATGACAGAAAGCGTCGCAAGACTTTACTACTCCATCCGTCCGGAATTACTTGTCATCAAAATGGATGAAAATGGATGAAAATGGGTGTATCTAGAATTAAAATACATCTAGATACATCCATTTCAATGACAAGTATTTCCATACGGAGGAAGTACATTAATACTCCTACTACATTAGGTTTGGATTTACTACACTACACAACGCCGTGTCAACAGGTTTGGACTTTTGCTGCCAGTGGGCTTATCGCTTATCTGGAGCTAGATCAGTACAGCAAGGCAAGCACCGTACCTATCGCAAACGTACTAGTAACGTTCTTTGCTAGAAGAAGAAAAGTAGAGAAGGCGTGAGATCAAAAGATTGGGAAAGGTAGCAGTAGCCGCTAAAAAAAGCAGTGTTGGTGGGGGGAAATCATGCGAAAGCGCGCGGCTTTTCCAGACCCCAGCGGGCAAGGAAAGCAAGCATCACGGGGGCAACGGCGGCGACAGCGGCGGCGAAACCAAGGAGGGGCGGACCGTCCGGGACCGTACACCGGCAGGCAATCGGAGGGACAGGACGGGACGGCTCACCTGCGAGCAGGAACCTCTTGGGCTTCTCGTGCCGCTCCTCGACGGCGCCGGCGGCCGCCGAGATCTGCCCGGCCGCGGCGATCTGCCCGGGCGCGGCGGCGCGGGCCAGCTCCCCGGAGTCCGCGAGCGCCGGCGGCATGAGCCAGAGCCCCAGCCCGGACCCGGCGACGGCCGCGGCGGCGGCGGCGATCACCCCCTCGCGGACGGTCGCCTTGGCCTCCGTCGTGGCGGCGGCGCTGGAGAAAGCTGCGCGGCCGGCGGGCGCCGCCGTCCTGAGCCGTCCGACGGCGGACCGGAGGAGTCTCAAGGGTGCCATGGGCGTCGGATTCGCAGCTCCCGGTTTCGGCGGGCGGCGCGGATGACGACTTGGCGGTTATGATGGTGGTGCGGAGGGAGGAGGAGGAGAGTGTGGACCCTGTCCGGCTTCTGGGGGAGGGAGGAGGCGGCGATGCGTCGATGCGCGGAGCACTGGGGGAAGAGAAGGGGAGAAAATGGGACGGGTTGTGGGCGCGTCGGCGTCGGCAGGGGGGGCGGCCCTTTTAACGGGAGGTGGCTGGCCGTGTGGTGGCTTGACCCGCATTTCCCGTGTGATCCTCCCCTTCGTTACGTGCACCGAACGGTGTTGTACTGTATCGTACGTACTGCGGGTGTACTGACTGCTGGCGCTTATGCTTGCACGCTTCACGGTGCTGCTGTGGGCGGCTGATGCAGTGCTGCGTGCGGGCGGTTGGTAGCACACGGGTTCGGGCCACACGTAGAGCTGGCTGTCGTGTACGTAAAGCTTGCAGTGATGGGTTCTACTCATCAAACAGATAAATATAGGTCGATGCAAAAGAAAAAACACAGATAAATACCGGTGCGTGCTGAATGAATGAACTGAAGATTGAGAGAAAGGCATTGCTTTGCGATGTTTATCTTTTCCTTTGTTAGGTGGTGAAAACGAAAGTGAGAAATGCCCTTTAGCCCTTTTCCAACAGTTTTTAATGTTTCCAACCTTCCGGTGACAGATGGGCACTAGTGGTCGAGTGGTAATAATAAATTACTCTGAGAGAGGAAAAAGGAGGGACCAGTAGCAGTAGGGACGCAGGTGCCCCGGCTGTTGGACGAACGGACGGCGGGCCAATGATGCCAATGATGATCTCGTGCGAAGAATCCCCGCCGGGTGCGGGTCGAGTCAGGTCAGGCGGCACCGCGCGCGCCCACCGATTCCCGCGTCCCTCCCCTCCCTGGTGGAAAAACCTTTTCCGCGAGCACCTGGAGCCTGGAGGGGCAGGCGCGAGGCGCAACTCCCACGTCGTGTCCGCCCGCGTTCGTTTGACGTTAGGCGAACTCCACCGCGCGATCCTAAACGGATGTCCGTTTTATTTAGATTTTGTCTGTTTGGGCAGGGGGTGGAGTCGTATCCGGGCCTATCCTGGGATGCGGTGATCGTGCGCCCAGCGCGCGGCCGCATCCTTTAGTCCATCCTGTCTGCGTCTATTTTAAAAAAAAAAGCAACGCTTCAAATGCCAAGCCCTACGGCCCCAGTTCATCACGCACGCCGGCAACAAAGCCAGCGGCCTACACGTCCATCGCCGGCATCAGCCAACGGCCGGCAACACACGCAGCCTCCAAAATGAATGGTTGTCCTCGCCGGCAACACAGCCAGCGGCCGGCAACACAGACGACCTTCAAAATGAATGGTTTTCTCGCCGGCACACAACCAGCGGCCCAGCGGACGGGCGACACCCATGCCAGCCTTCAAAAAAACGGCCACGGCCGATCGGACGACCTAGTTCAGGCCGTCGGCGTTGAGCATCTCCTTCTGCCTCGAAGCAGGCCCTCGTCTTCTCGCTCATGTTCGACAAGTCCACGCTCATGATCACAAGGGCCACCTCTTTCGCTTTGGTGACGGCATTGGTGGCCTCGATGTCGAGTTGCCTTTGCCTGGCCTTGACGTTGTCGGCCTCGATGTCGAGCTGCCTTTGCCGGGCCGCCTCCTCCATGTCGAGCTGCCTCCACTGGGCCGCCTCCTCCATGTCGATCTTTCTTCTCTTGGCCGCTTCCTCCATCTCAAGTTTCTTCGTTTGAAGCTCTAGGTATTGCTTCATTTGCTCCTCCTTGCTTTGCCGCTTCTTCTCGTCCCTCACATCATTTTGCGACATCATGCCATGCAGAGTGTCATGCAATGCCATGGATGAGGCATCACGTATGTCGTCAACCTTGGAGTTGGTCTTGCCCCTCGGCCTCTTCAACGCCTCGCCATCTCCACCTCCGGCGTACTTGGCCGTCTTCATGCCCCTTTTCCTTTGGAGTTCACGGTATTGGTCCTTGAACTTAGGGTAATTGTTGACCATAGTCCAACAATGCGTAAGAGTGAATGGCTTGTCATTGTGTAGGGCCTTGAATGCCTCCAAAGATTGAAATGCCTACACCATATGATCAACAAACAAGTAAACATGCAAACAACTTCCTTTCATGGAATCGAGCCGATGCCACGGTTGCTTTCAAATTAGTAGGGCTCAAACAACTTTCTTTCATGGAATGTTTTATGGACTCTCGTCCAAAAAACTATACCCTTTTGTTGCGCGCCGGTCCTTGGATCTTGGCTAATCTCCATCCAAGCTTCGTAAATCAACTTGTCCTCATCTTGTGCGTATGAATCCGTGCAAATGCTCTTCCTCTTCTTTTGTGCTTCCGCTCTTTGTGTCAGCTCGTCAATGAACAATGGCTCGCCATTAATGTCAACGTCATTGCTTTCTTCTTCATCACCATCACCTTCGACATAGATGTCATCGTCTTCATGCCACGAGTCACCATGGTCGTAGTCAGCACGGTCGTCGGCCTCTTCATCGGCAGTGAACTGGCCGCGGCCATCCTGACTTTGGGTCTCCTCGGGGTCGTAGACAGGGACGTGCCCACCCTCGTAGATCACTTCCTCCATGAAACTGGTCATAGTAGGGGTCGTCAACCGGTGTCGTTGGTGTTGGCATTCCGTCGAACAAGACGCAGGGGGACGGCATGGTGCCAGTAAACGGCGGTCGTGCTTGCTTTCTTTGCATCTCGACGGACGGACGGCACTGCTGGACCCAGGGTGACGTTGAGGTCGATGACGGACGAGGGGCGTGGTGTGGACGGCGCGAACATGCCAACGTCCGGCGACCCCCCCCCCCGAAACGGGTCTGGTCGTCGTGCCTTGGTGGAGGAAAGCCGGACGACATAGGCGTGGTCCGCGACATCGGCGACTGGCAGTGCGGAGGCCGGGCGACCAATGACCCTGCGCTCACTGGACTGACGGCCCCTCCAGAGAAACCGGGCGGACGACAAATGCCAGCCATGAGAAGGGTGTGCGCTTTGCTGACGATGGCCTCCTTCTCCTCGACCTCGGCCTTGTGTCGCGCGACCTCAATCGCAGCGCGCTCGGCGGCTCTCTTGGCCGCGGTGACGTTGGTCTTGGCGACCGCCCTTCGGCCCCTCCTCTTCGCCGATTTCGCGTCCAACTTGGCGATCTCCTCTGGCGTGCACTCCGACCGCGGCTTCCTTGGTGCCTTTCCTTTCTTCTTCTTGGCCATTCTGGGCGGGTCGACGGCCAGCCCGCCGGAGTTCGGCTGGGCGTCGGCCATGGACGGGGGAGGGAGTGGGACGGGCGG